ATGCCTAAAATCTTTCTTGACAGCTGAAGCCTAAAATATTATTTTTGGGAAAATATATGACAGAATCATTCTGTCATTTATGGATCAGGGAATTTGCAAAAGATAAACTCTGCAGAAAAACTGGCGACACACCCCGAAGGCCAAAACGCTTTCGTGTTGCATGAAAAGAAAGAAAGAACAAATGAAAAAAGCCTCTCTACAAAATGAGGTTAGCGAGTAAATCAGCCTCTCATAATTAATTGTGGATCAAGTGTTATTGAGTGTAATGGATTGCGTAGAAAAAATATGCAAATCCATTTCAATTTTCCACGAATAACAACCTGTAACGGGTCTCAGCTTCCTTGCGAACCTGTGCTGGATGTATGTAGATTTAAACTTTGTGAAAATTTATCATACTTAAACATTTGTCTTCAAGAAAAAAGAAAGAAACAATATGATCTCTTTTATCCTGATCTATACTTTGATCCCTTTTCTTTTTAGAATTATGAAAAAGGATAACAGATGGAGTATAAGGTTGGTTGAATGATGTTCAATGAATAACAGGTGACAAATACCGTTCAGAAGATGGAAAGATGATTATAAATTTCATGTGAAATTTTAAATATTCCCAACTTAGTTCTATGCATGATGAAGTTAATTTTCAAAAAGTAGTAAGCGAAATAAATCAGTATATGTTTGGATAGATTAAACTAAGAAGCAATGCATTATGATTAATAAGCTTCCAACATCCAGTGTATAATGAATGTAAAAAGTGCTAGTTCTCAAGTACAGATAGGAAATATTGAATTTATCAAAGTCACTTGAAAGTAAAGTCATCAAGGGACAGATCAACACTAACGATATCTCTAAGATAAAAATTGCTAAAGAAACGACAACGTTTCAGAAAGTAATCTTTATTTTATCTTAGTCTTGGACAATCTTATATATAAAGCACATTTATATATGTGCGTGTGTGTGTCCAAGCAACTCCTCGGCTCCCACAGAAAAGTTAGGCGCAGAAAACGATTTTCATTGAGTTCAGATTCAGGGTTGCCAGATTATGCGAGGTTAAAAATATATATTAATATATTATACTAGCCATTATCGTTGCTTTCATGGTTCAAGGGGAGTAACTTATTTTCTTTTTGTATCCAAATTTGCAGTGCATGTTTTATTATGAACTAGCTTAAAAGCAGTCCTATCGGGTGACATTTAAGCTAGCTTAAGGACTTTTGGTTTGGCCATCATAACAATATCTAGGGAGGAGTAGATGCGATAGGCATTAATAAACTACAGAAGAACTCAAAATTGATCGCTGCATTTAAGTATTGCATTAATGTTTAAGCTTACCTTCAACGACATTTCATCTGCTACCACTTAATTTAAAGACGATTTGATATACGTAGATCCTTATTTTCCATACAATTATTTTTATTTCGTGGATGACAGAACTTGGGGGCAGATAAAATTAATATAGTGTAAAGATGGGAAAATAGATATTAGAATTAGTTATACATTCAACATTTGAAGGGTTAGAAAAACCTAATAGCTAATTAAATAAAACCTATATTACTATTATGGAATCTATATGAATAAATGCGAAATCGGAGCACAATTATCCAACGAATTCTGGGGTTAAAAAGCCCCAACTCTACTTTATAGTAATTTAGGCCCTAAAAGCACACTATCTGTATTAAATGTATCTACTTCTAGTTGATATCACTCTTCAGGTTTAACTAATTTGCATATTGATTTTAAACAAGTATATTTATTTAATTAACTATTCTTCATTAGTGTCTTTTTATTTAAGGATTGTTTCGATTTTCATATCAAAAATAGTTATTTAGGAATATTGTCTTATATAGTGCAGAAAAGTGTCTGAAATTTGCATTTTACTTGGCCTTTAACAAGTTGGTATCTATTTGTAAAACTTTCCTTAATTATAACAAGCCAATTTCTGAAAGAAATGTTCATTTAAATTTTTTGTTTCAAAGATTTCAAATAGTGAATATATCTTACTTTGCGAAACGATAGCGAGTGAGCGAAACCAGCTAGTACCAAATAATAACGACCCGAGGGAAATCATTCAACACAAGTTTTTAAGAGAAAAAAAGATCGATTTCAAATCAGCATTTGATTTATATCTATTACTAATTCAATAAGTATCCAATATAATAATGTGGGCAAGGAACAAAAATTGCCCACAGTCCCCGCAACCGTCGGGTGCGCTGGCCTCGGTACGAGCACCGATCCCTTTCTTTGGGGCAGTGAGAGGGTTCGACCTCGGGCAGCTGTTCCCCAGGGCTGGATACTCAGTATAATTTTCTCAGTTGCCACTCTGTTCTTTGACAGAGTAGATATTTACTCAACCCCCAACGAGGTCAGGTTGCGACACAAGGTCGGTTTAATGTGGGGAGCCCGAGGGCGTACACCCGGGAAAGGAACAAAAATTCTCCGAGCCCCAGCAACCGTCAGTTGCGCTGGCCTCGGTGCGTACGCCGATCCTTCTTTCTACTGCAAGGTGAAGGCGCGGCCTTGGGCAGCTGTTCCCCAGGGCTGGATGCTCAGTATAATTTTCCTCGGTTGCGACTCTGTTCTTTGATAGAGTAGCCCCTGAGCGCACTATACCCTAAAACAGAGATGCAGCTGAGAGATATCTACTTCTAGACAATATCACTCTTCAGCTTTAACTAATTTTCATAGTGATTTTTAAAAAGTTTATTTCATTAATTGTCCTTCATTACTGTTCTTTTATTCAAGGATTGTTTCGATTTTCATATCAAAAATTGTTCCGTTTAGGAATATTATCTTATATAGTGCAGAAAAATGTTTGAAATTTGCATTTTACTTGGCCTTCAACAATTTCGCATCTATTTGTAAAACTTTCCTTAGCTATAACAAGCCAATTTCTGAATGAAATGTTCATTTAATTTTTTTTGTTTCGAAGATTTCAAATAGTGAATATATTTTACTTTGCGAAGCGATAGCGAGCGGACGAAACCAGCTAGTACCAAATAATAACGACTCGAGGGAAACCATTCGACACAAGTTTTTAAGAGAATCAAATCAGCATTTGATTTATATCTATTCCTAATTCAATAAGTATCCAATATAATGATATTTGAAGTAATATTTAAGATGTCTCAGAAATAACTATTTCATTGAAATCGAACAATTGTTTTTTTAAAAAAAAAAAAAGGAAAGAAAAACACCTTTATTTTGTTCTTGTTTAATATTTGCTAGACGTGTATAAATTTCTAATTTTCTTTAAAACTTTATAAATTTTTTTCTAATTTTATTTTCATTCCCTTTCAGAAACCTATTAATAATGAATACACAACAACACATCTTTGTTGAACACCACTGGATTTCTTTGCATGGGGTTTCATAAAAAAATAAAGGTTTATCGCCAACAGAATTTACATACGTATCTCCACGAGATCGCTAAAAAAGAGCACAGCATGATGAAAAAGACGCTAAACTTGAAAACAAAATTTTATCGTCTAAATATTCATGTTGTTATTAAGAGGAAAAATCAAAGTATTTTTGCGGTATTTTTTTTTTACATTTTTTAATCGTTCCGAGCACATCCAAAATTTTCGTTAAAAATCTTGTTTTTTTTTGAATCGGCAAAATTGATAGATAATCGATTATGGCATCCATTTTTTTCCATTTTATAAAAAATATGAAAATCTCACTTTGAAATTCTTTTAAAAATCAATTATTTTTTCAAAACTTCTTTTAAGAAAATCAGAAATTAAGTTTATTTAAAATATTTTGAACCAAGGTTGACTTAGCTTCTGCGCCGAAAAGATGTAATTTGAAAATAAAACAAAGCAGGTCATAACCTTTCGCGTCACTTGACGTATTGACGGACTTACATGATCATAATTTGTTCTACGGCAGCCGAAAAGTGAAGTTATTTAGATTTAAGTGAACAAATTATTTACTTCGTTATTTTTAAGGAAAACTTTCAGCGCTCTAAATTTTTTTTTTGTACTTAGCTTTCACCTTTACGTTTACAATGCTTTATGGAAAATATATTATAAAGAAATTAAAATAAGACTTAAGAGTGAGATTAAATTTCATAAGAAAGGTATCTAATTAATTTATAGGTACCTTTCTTATGAAATTTTATCAGAAGTGTACATAAAATACTATAATTTTATGTACACTTATTACATTTTACTGTGTTATTTGTATTTCCATTCATTTTATTATTAATTTAATATTACTTTATATACACAAGCATACGATTATACACGAGGCTCCGGCAAGTTCGTTTTTTGAATATACACTGAGGCTTTTTTTCTATAAAATATGAAACTTATTCTGAGTACGATGTAATCCCAGTTTCAACTAGAAATATGTGCTTAAGTTATCGAAATGGATTATCGCTTAAAATGATTAGCCAAAACAGATAATGTCCGTTGCAACATTAATAAGACATGTATATGTATTTAAAAACAGCAAAATACGACTGTTCTATCATCAGTGCTTATGTCCGAGAGGTAGAATAAAAAAAAATTGCCTACGGTTAATACAGTTTATGATAAGTATTAGACTAATGTAAAAGTTTACAGGAATTTTTGTACAAAATCTTTTTTTTATGTCAATTTAAAAAGCGTATACTCTCATCGGCGGACATATTCTTCGCAACCTAAGATACGCAGATGTTGGCAGACTCAGAAAGAAAAAAAAGAAAGGAAGAAAAAAAGGATTATTAACACGGAATATATGGTTGTTAGCAAAAAGTATTTTATTAGTATGTATTAGGGACGTGATAATTAAGTAGATATAGACATTGCTCTCTGGGTAGTGTATTGCTAGAAGAGAAAAAAATGTGATCCGAAAGTATATTGAACCCTTTTCTCCACAGACTAAACGTTACAAGTTTCTCGCTAGGCTATCCCTATTTCTATGTCTAATACTCTGACGATCTATATTCATTAGGTTCACCAGTTCTAACATTCAAAGCTAAGACTCGCCATGCCACGTACATCGAAACGGATCGATGTTACTTTGTCTTGTTGGAAAGAGATATCCGCTTGTCGTCTACAGGCAAAAAGAGATATCCGCTTGTCGTCTACAGGCAAAAAGAGATATCCGCTTGTCGTCTACAGGCAAAAAAGAGATATCCGCTTGTCGTCACAGGCAAAAAGAGATATCCGCTTGTCGTCTACAGGCAAAAAGAGATATCCGCTTGTCGTCTACAGGCAAAAAGAGATATCCGCTTGTCGTCTACAGGCAAAAAGAGATATCCGCTTGTCGTCTACAGGCAAAAAGAGATATCCGCTTGTCGTCTACAGGCAAAAAGAGATATCCGCTTGTCGTTCACAGGCAAAAAGAGATATCCGCTTGTCGTCTACAGGCAAAAAGAGATATCCGCTTGTCGTCTACAGGCAAAAAGAGATATCCGCTTGTCGTTCATATCCGCTTGTCGTCTACAGGCAAAAAAGAGATATCCGCTTGTCGTCTACAGGCAAAAAAGATATCCGCTTGTCGTCTACAGGCAAAAAGAGATATCCGCTTGTCGTCTACAGGCAAAAAGAGATATCCGCTTGTCGTCTACAGGCAAAAAAATCCCTTATCCGCTTGTCGTCTACAGGCAAAAAGAGATATCCGCTTGTCGTCTACAGGCAAAAAAGAGATATCCGCTTGTCGTCTACAGGCAAAAAGAGATATCCGCTTGTCGTTCACAGGCAAAAAAGATATCCGCTTGTCGTCTACAGGCAAAAAGAGATATCCGCTTGTCGTCTACAGGCAAAAAGAGATATCCGCTTGTCGTCACAGGCAAAAAAGATATCCGCTTGTCGTCTACAGGCAAAAAGAGATATCCGCTTGTCGTCTACAGGCAAAAAGAGATATCCGCTTGTCGTCTACAGGCAAAAAGAGATGGCTTCTTATCTACAAGAAAGAGATATCTACTTTGGGTTGTTTGCTACAAGAAATGATATCTCTTTTGGCTTGTTTTCTACAAGGAGGAAATGAATGGTTCTCCAAGACCATTAAGAGAACACGTTTGTTTTGGGGGCGTTAAAGTAAACGGGCAATTTTGGCCCAGTTAAATCTGTTGGCCCAACCAGCTATCTAAAGCTTGATAGATTTTTTCAGCAATAACTTAACACATCGACAATTGAAGTAGAGATGCGATGGCCGTATTGTTTGTCTGACTAAAGAAACTGCGAAATGATATGCTTTAACCAATTCAGAATTGCATATAAACTGGGTTGAAAGAAAAACAGACAAGATTTGACAATACTCTCTAATCAAGCCAGAAGGACGACACCAACTAATTTCAAAGATAATAAAATTGTTCTTTTTCTAATGTTTCAGTTGATGAAATATTGATTTATGAGTTTTAATTATAACCGCAAGGAAATACACATGGGGAATTATTTTCAAATGTTTCTTTTAATGAATAGTAAAGTAAAAGAGGTTCAATTGATTAATTTATATCTTTTGAGCGGATGGTCAAAATTAATTTTATAGAATCATGAAATACTACGCTTTTGGTGAGAATGACCTCAGTTTAGACTTTTGGAAACTTTCAGTGAAGAACTTAAGTTTGTGACAATTATTTGAGCGATAAGACAAGGCATTATATACATATATATATATATAAAATCAGTTTTGTGCCATGCGTGATACACGCTTAGGCGATCAAGTATCTTTCGATACATGATTGACGAGGCAGATATTTTTCCTGCAGTAGGTTACCATTATTTTCTGCGGTAGACCAGTTGCCATCCAAGGCTATAGAACACGGTCTGTCCTGATATTTATCATTTATTTATACATGGGGGAGAAGAAGAAGCTTCATACCTTTCCCAAGGGTATTAGCACGTAAGTGAATGTAATGAACTCGACTGGAATTCGAACTCGGATCTCCGATTCCTCAATCCGACCCGCTCTCCATTACTCCGCCGCGTTGTTTTATCGCTCAAGTAATTAAAACAAAGTTAAACAAACATAAGTTATATATAAATCTTTTACTTTCAATGCATTTTGAAAAATTGGATAGGAATTTACATTAAATTAATTTCAGAAAAGGCGATGTAAATGTTGCTTTCAATCCATTATGAAAACAACATAAGGATTTATCTAGGGTTCAATACAGAAAAGCTGGGAAAATATATAAATAGCTTTCGATATTCAGTAAGAATTATAAAGAAAAAGATACAGAATAAATATTAAAGGATTTTTTTTAAAAAGTCACTCATTTTCATTCTTTTCTTTGATCACAAGAAATGCCAACTGATGATCTATTATTTAAGCACACAGATTCACATCTTTCTTTCGTTTTTGGATCTGATGAACCCTAAAAAAGGCGAAACGCGTAATCTAGTTTCAATGAAACGGTTTTCCATTTGTTATATTTCTTCAAAACTTTGTAGAGATTCTATATCCTATTTTACACACGCATTTTGTGTGTGTGTGTATATATATATATAAAAATTTGTGTATTTAGGTATCAAATTTTCTTTTAGGTATTTCTGATTGAATAAATTACAGATATTATGTCTGCTAATTTTTAACAAAATCCGTTCATACTCACGAATAACCTTCCGTGTACTGATATTAAAGGATGAGAGAAATGTGCTATGGTTGTTTACATTTCTTTTATTTTCATTTCCCAAGTACTTTCGATCTTCCAAGATTATCTTCAAGGGTGCAAGTAGTGTCGGAGTTAGCTCCTCCTTAATTCCGTAATTGTTCACTAGGGGTCTCTCCCTACACCATAAATACTGGGCAACTTCTTGCCTCGTTCTCTTTTTCATTTCTTCAATTCAGCGAACACTTCTACAATGTGAGATCTCGCAAAAGATAGCGTTTCCCCATTTGTGGGAGACGCCATGAACATTATACACACATACACGTACGTACGAACGTTCACCAAAGAACAAACACAAATGTTCACACACACAAATATTAATGTCTATGTCCATTGTAAAATTGTGTTGTTTAATACATATATTTTTTGGCATAAATATATAGGTGTTATTTGTTTTGTCTTCTTTACATCTTCGGTTGGACTCAATTTGAGTTAGGCATTTTCTTGTAGTTGGACCATCTTCTAGCAGGAAATAAACAGCACACGTGTTTCTAATTCAACAACACTCTGACCCACACGGTCCACTACAGTAGTACAAAATTATATGTTGTTCATGAGTACAAGTATTTATACAAAGTTGAATATTGCAGTAATGTTCTGAAATGCCTGTAAAGGAACAGTTTTTTCACGCTTTAATGCGCGCATGATCATGACATTATATCATGAAAAAAATTCCATAACATTGTTAGCCGTTTTGCATTTAAAAGCGTAATGAAAAATTACGGTAATGGATAACAATGTAAAACTTTGTATAAATACTTGTGCTAATAGTTTTGTGTTGTGGAGTATTTTCACATGGAGGCTTGTATTTCTAATAAGTCGTACAAAACGTTAGGAACTTGGAAAATAATAGTCAATGACGCAGCAAATCTAGTTGTGATGGTTGGTACTTCTGTCCGAATGTCCGAATTCAACACCCGTTTTGCAGACAACCTACTTATTATCTACTGAGTCCTTAGGTCAAACATTTTGTATTACTTTGTTCTGCAGAAAGTAAAAAAATTGCCATATATATATATATTATTATCTATATATATATATAGAGTCCATGACGATCACTAAAGAATAGGTACTAACCAAATGGCACAACATATTTTGTATTAAGTACTTGCATAATATTTGAAGATGATCTTGGAAGAAGATCTTCTCAAGTAATATTATTTATAAAATAAAAATATATATATAAATAAAAACATATATATATATATATATATATTTGGTTGAATAGATATATATATATATATATATATATATATATATATATATATATATATTTTATATATAAAATTTTCATATATATATATATATATATATATATCGTCAGACTGACGATCACTAAAGCGTATATATAAACCCATATATATATATATATATAACTATTTAAACTCACATCTATCCAACCAAATATGTTAGCCTATATATTTATATACTTTTCTGATATTGAGCGCTTTTCTAATAATATATATATATATATAATTAATATCATACACTTTTGAATATATATATATTATTTTTTTATTTACATTTTCATATATATATATATATATATATATATATATATATATATATATATTTATTTATATAAATTTTCATATATATATATATATTTATTTTGAATAATAAACCATATATATATATATTATATATTATATATATATATATATATATATATATATATATATATATATATATATATATATATATGTGTGTGTTTTTATCCGACATTATTTCTTTATTACTATATTATTATAAACGTAGTGGAGGTCATGGATCTTCACCGCTTCAATTACGGTGTCTTAGGAAAAATTGGTTTTAAATTCAGCGCTGTTCTTCAAGATAGGTTGCCATCATCCAAAAGCGAAAGAACCCAGTCGAAGCTGCTATTTAACCCATAGCTGGAGTGTTGGGAGTTGACGAAGAGATCAATTCTGCCAATGCACTTTTCCAGAGTGGGGAAAGTTTAGAATTTGAATTCTGCTCGCCAATTGCACTTTCGGCGCTGATAGAAGTTACGCTACCCGTATATACCAGCTTTTTATCCAAACTAAATCTAAGAAACATACCTGATGCCTGGAAAGCTGAAAATTAAGCAGCTTAACCGCATTTTCAGTTGAATGTGTTTCTTACAAAGTAGAAAAGATCATTTCTATAAATAAGAGATGATAAAATGCCTTAGTTACAAAGATAAAAACATTTCCATAATAAAATATTCACGTCTTTAAAGCGACTCCTTAGTAAACATTAATCCCAGCCGCCTGTGAGGTTATAATGAACTGCGTGAAATTCTTCCTATAAATTGATTCAAATGTATTCATCGATATGCGTGAAAGCACCAAGCTGTCGACGTCGACAGAGTAATTTGAAATCTCTTTGAATATAGCCAGTCAATAAGGCTAAGCAAACAGTGAAAAATATTTTATCACGCCAACCTTCTAAAGCGATAGGACCTGTCTGCTTTGAAAATAACCATTCGGAGGTATGAATTTTAACAGGAATTGATTACAAATCACCAAAACCAGTTTTAAAAAATGCATATCTACCTCAGCTATAAAGCGGAAATAGACCCATTCGCCCCCCTGTCATCCGCAGGGGATTACTTATAGGAACTCCGTTGATACCAATGTTTGCAGATGTTCAAGTTGAAACGTCTTACGGCCACATCACGTTGAACAGCAGTTCCTGTAAAATCGCCGAAGTTAAGCAACGCCGAGCCTTGCCAGTACCTAAATGGGTGATCGCTTGAGAATACCAGGTTCTGTAAGCTTGGATGTGCAGGTGGTGTAACGGATAATAGCTCGAGATTTTTAATTGGAGAGCGGAGTTCCAATTCCATTTGGGTTCGTTATATTCATTTACGCGCAAATACCTTTGGGAAAGGTGTGAATCCATCTCTTCTCCCAGCTATGGGTTAATTAGTAAAACATTAACTCCAAAACAGAAAAAAATGCGTACAAAATATTTAAATTTTGGCATTAAATAACCCATAGAGGTGTTGATATGCCGCTAAACAAAAACAACGAACCAGCTAACTAAAACTTATTAAAAAATGCGAAATTTTTACATATAACCGATAGATATCCTTCAATATATACTTTAAATAATCTCCATATTACATTATTACATCCAAACATCAAAGTTAAGCAACGTCGACCATTGTCACTCCCTATATGACCGCTTGGGAATACCAGGTGCTGTAAGCTTGGATGTGTCGATGGTATACTAAAATGTGAACTCTCATTTCTGATTGATTGATTTGATTTTTACGGCTTATCAACCCATTGCGGGATATTTAAAGCTAGAAAATATTTTTAGATCCTAAGAATTTTTATTTTGGAGGTAATAACGATTTAGTGATACAAATCTTACTAATTAACCCATAGCTGAGGGGGAGAAGAGGTGGATTCATAACTTCCAAGGATATTTGCACGTAAAGTGATTATAACAAACCCAACTGGAATTGGAACTTTGCTCTCCGTTTAACAATTTGGAGTCTTTATCCATTACACCACCAGCACATTCAAGCTTGCAGAACCTGGTATTGTCAAACGGTCACCCATCTAGGTGGGTGGCCAGACTCGACATAGCTTAACTTCAGTGATCGTACGGGAACCGGTGTTTCAACATGATATGGCCGTAAGCCCCTTACTTCTGGCGCCGATGGTGGGTAATGGATAACATATGTCAGCGATAATATATAAAAATCATGTCCATGCAAGTGAAATAAGCAAACGGTTCTTGGTAAAGTCACTGAGTAAACCAGGAAATATTTGTAAGGCAGACAAAATACCTGACGGACTTTTTCTGACGTGGCTCCTATCCGCCTCCTCAAAATAAATAGTCACTGAAAATTCTGACGCGTCTTCGACTGTTGTTAAGACAGGAGTTATTTTGAGAATCTTGTTGAAAATCCATTTGTGTGTAGGTTGACACTACCATCTCAATGTGTTACCATGAAAACAATTCATATAAAATCTCTAATGAACTTGTTTATCTGATCTCATAACCATGTATTATGGAGACAACGTTAATGAAAGTTCAAATTTTCTAAGTCTAAATTAATGTCAATTCAAGCGAGAAATGGATTTCTTACCGCGAAACTGAGGCGTAGCTTATTGACATTTTTTTGGGGGGGGTTTTTTAATCAGAGAAGCGTGCACGAATGACGTAATCAACATTCGCCCCCACATTGATCAGAAGAAAAAAAAAATTAAAGTCGAGAGGGGGAGATTCCCGTTCACCAAATGATATTTAGCCTTATCTATGATGGAATTTTTTTTTTAATTTTATATAGTAAATACAACATGCGACGGAAAAATGTGACGCAGAAATGTGAATGCGCATAGCTAAAAATGTCTTTCGTAAACTAAGCAAAGTATTAAAACAGAAAATTTTTGCACTGAACCAGGATGTAATATCTAATGTTTTATATGGCAGTGAATGCTGGACAATCTCTTCACAGATGGAAAAGAAACTAAAAAGGACAGATATGTGGTGCGACTGTCGAATGTCCGTAGAAAATGTAGCGCGTCCTGGGTATGACGATAAACTACATCCGACAGCAAGGTCTCTGATCAGAAGGTTTTGAGGAGCGTGGAACCACTTCTTAATTGGTGGTGTCTCCACGTCAACCCTGACCCGGGGTAGCAGCACCTGTTAGGGTCTCCGCTATTGGCAAATAGTTAACACCCCAGGGTCAAAACACTATGAAAGTTTAAAAATAAGTTTTAATGACAGCAATACATTTTTGGAAAAAATTATTACCAGCAATAAATTTTTGAAGAAAAAATATTAGCAGCAATGCATTTATGAAAAAAATATTACCAGCAATAAAAATCTTGTCGGCATTAAATAACCCATTGTTATACCGGAACGTACCTATTTCTATTGTAAATAGACTCTCCCACAAATAATAATAAGTAGTAGTAGTAGTAGCAGTCGCCAGTAAAGCTCAGTGAGTTGTGTAAGCCAGTCGATGTCGGACATTAAAATATGAGCCCCACAACTAGATTGCTGCGTCATTAACTATTATTGCAAGTTCCTAACGTTTTGTACATCGGACCTAATTTAGGACCGACTTAGTGAAATACAAGCCTCCACTGTGAAAACTACTCTACAACACCCATTGAGGTTGATATGCCGTAAAACAAACCAATGTAAACAGCACTGAACTGCGATGTAATCGTATATGGCTGTGAATGCAGCACAATCTCTTCAGATGAAGAAGAGACTTAAAGCAACCGAAAACTAAAAATTTAAAGTTTTGCGTACATAATGAGCAAAGACGGCCTGGAGAATTAAACACTTACATGGTATATCGACAGCAAGAGAAGCAGGAGAAAACAGCTTCTGTATTGAGGGGACTTGGTCAACTGTTGACTAGAGATACAAGAGACTGGAAGATGAAGAGAGACATGATGCATCATATCCTGTTCATCTTCGCATGAATACCCGAAGGAAAATCAAGAATCCGCCTCCATCTCAGTGTTAAATTCAGGGCTGGACTAGTCTATCCAGTCTGGCGTGTAGTAGAAGGACAACGCTGATAAAGAAAAAGAACTTGTGCAGAACCATGATCGTGTAAGTCTCGAAGGAACATGGCGTTAAAAAAAAAAAAAAAAAAAACCAACAATGGCACAATTTAAATCGACTGGTGAATTCTTTTCAAAATAATTTTTTCAGAAAATCAAAAATGTCAGCAATGTCAGAATCGCAAAATATTGAGTCTCTCGATTTTGAAGGCGGGTCCTTTTCATAATATGGCAACAGTGTCAAATTGATACTTTTTCTTTTTTTCTTTTTTTTTACAGTTATTGGAAAAGCTATACGACGTACGAAAACATACTCTATTTAAAATAAATATTAAAAATAGGAGAAAATAAATGAATATAGACATCTTTATTAAAGAAGAAAAATTTACATAAATTAATAACCATACACAGTGGAACCTCGGGTCACGAATTTAGTTCGTTCCTGAAGCCCGTTCGTAACCCGAAATGTTCGTAAACGAAAACTACTTTTCCGATAGGAATCAATGTAAAATGGATTAATCCGTTCCTGGTCCCAAGATGATTTCTTATTTAAACTTTAGCAACAGTACTTTGTGCAAAAGTTTATACACAATACTAATGAAAATCATTAAGTCTAAGAAAAAATAAATAAACCCAATACTAAACAGATAAAATATAGACGAACACTTCAATTTTACCATACCTGTAAGTCGGAGAATTGATGGCGTAAGTGGAAGGGGGAGGAAAAAGATGTTATTGTTTGGAAAAGGGAAGGAAAGACATGATCGTCTCTTTATTTATAAGAATATTATAGATCGTTGATTTTGTCATATGAAACTGAATAGGAAGAGACAATATCTTCAACAATTGTTTTTCTTAACTTTTCTTTTTTTTATTTAACAGTATCACTGCTAGCTTTCTTTGGAGCCATGACTAAGGACTAATGAAGAAAAAAAAAAAAAATGCACAGTACAATAAAATTGGAAAAGAAAAGCACAGCACAATACATGAATGTATACAACACAGCAGTCAACTCAGAAATTATTCCATTTATGTTAACATGGTTCGGCAATGTTGTTCGAGAACCGAAATTTTGTTCGATAACCGAGGCATTTTAATCTCGAATATTCTGTTCGAAAACCGATTTGTTCGACATGTGAGACGTTCGAGAACCGAGGTTGAATTGTATGTTTGTTTATTCTTCATTCTAGATAAATAATTATTAAACCTAATGTTTTATGTGTTTTCGAAAGAATCCTCTGACAAAAATATTAATAAACGTTTAAGTTATAAAAATTCAGAAAAACTAAAAAAATAAAAACAAATATGCAGATATTAATGATGAAAACTTTATGTAAATAAGTCCAATAAGTTTAAAAGGCCTGGATCGATTTTACACTGTAATGATATTATGAACAGTACCCCCTCTAGAATGATGAAAACGATATTTTTCGTTTCTGACAAACGTCGTAGCTTAAGGAAGGTCTAAGGAACGCTAATCTTGACAAATTATTCGCAAAAAAAAAAAACAACAACAACAAAACTCCCTTTTCTTTTTAACGAGTGGACCAGTGTCTATTCTTGCTTTTTATATGTGCCGTGTCCTTTCAGACGTAGGCGATCATGGCTCTCCACTTCCCCCTATCCCATGTAGCTCTCAATGTTTCAACCTTCTGCCATATCCCCCAGACCACATTCTGTCATCCACTTGCTTAAGGCCGCCAGGTATGTCATGCGTTGCTTTCCCTTGTCTCTCTTTCCCTCTATTCGATCTGAGAGTATCAGATTCTCCAGGCCCACCTTTCTCATTACGTGTCCCAGAAAGTTTAGCTGCCTCTTCCTGATGTCCAGTGTATATAATCAGTTCGCAAATCATCGAGAATAGAGATTGTTTTGAAAAGTAAGAGAAATTTCACTGGTCCTCTCATCCGATTTTAGATTCTTTCATTCAAGCCATACGTTGAGACACCAGTTCTCGTACGATCAACGAAGTTAAGCAACGTCGAGTCTTGTCAGTACATAGATGGCTGACCGCTTGGGAATACCAGATTCTGTAAGCTTGGATGCGCGGATGACGGCTAGGATTTGATAATCAGATAGAAGTTGGTTTTGTTATATTCACTTACTCGCAAGTGTGAATTTACCTCGTATTTCTTCCAGCTATGGGTTAATTAGTAAAACTTATATCACTAAAACCATTATTATCTAAAAAAAAAAAAAAAAAAAAAATTCTTACAATCTAAAAAAATCTTTTGGCTTTAAATAACCTGGAACGGGTTGATAAACCGTAGAAAATGAATGAATCAAACAATCTTTCAGTCAGAGCTTTGCTTCTTTACAGACCAGACATTACCGGATTTCGACATGTATACAATGTTTTCAAGACGACATTAAATGTTTGTTCCTAGCATTTGTGTTATAAATCATTTGCATTATTTTCAAAACAGCGTAGCCATAGAGTAGCGTAAGTTTCCCGATGTATTTTCATTATAATATTTTTGGGGGAATGTCATTTATCTTAGTGTGTATTGCAGAGTGTCAATTCGAAACCAAAATGGCGGCGCCCATGTAAAATCGCCACCAGCGTCTTTATAATTATTTATTCCCAGTAAATGGCATTTTCCTGTGTTTCCCTCTAAAATGGGACAGCACAACCAGTTAACAAGGCAGCAATGAAAGTGTAAAATATTACGTTGTGTCAAATTTTTTTTGTTTATCAACTTTATTGATACAAAAAATAAAATAAAGTAAAGTAAAATTAAATTTTATTCAATTATATATTCACCATTATTTGCAATGACTTGTCACTTATCCGGTAGCTCTTCGATACATTTTGAGTAAAATTCCGTAGGTTTTGATGTGAGAGCGTTTTTGACGAATTCTTGAATGGTTTCCATTAGAGAATGTCTTCCCCACCAAAGCGCTTTGCAACGATTAAAAAAAAAAGATGATAATCGGTTGTTGCAACATCAGGTAAACATGGCGAGTAGGATAGATCAGATCAACTTAGTTCCAAATTCTTTGAAGGCAACCCGAATTGACATACACATGAAGAAGGTCGGAGAGCGTAACGACCAAAACGTTGTAATAATATCAACAACGATGCTGATGTTCGACTGTACATAATACGTATGCTGTCAGAGTAAATGTAAAGAGGCTACACTTATTACGTGCAAGGTCAGGTGAATATGGCGGGTGGGATAGAACAGATAAACCTAGTTCCTAATTTTTTCCTGTATTATTATTATTACTGTATGCGAACTTGCGCGTGGCCAAGAGCTTGGAAAGTTCGCTTTCTGGCCATGAGAATCTCACCATAGTTGATTTATCAGGAAGGTGACTTCCTGATGTTATCGATCTGGAGGAGGCGATTCCAACGTGCGGATTGACCCAAGCCTTGTGAGTGAAAGTGGGTAGACGGGACCCTTGATTTTGCTAGCACGAAGTCACAAGTCATCGTAACCGAGAGTCCGAGCGTGCTAGCCTTGTTCAGATTGCTAACCCCGCTAGATAACGCATGTTCTCCCAGAAAATCTAACTACAGTTCACTCAGCATAGTTGCAGCATAAACCACAGGTGGGCTCTGTGGGTGTTGAACAAACACAAATGAGCCTACAGTGGGGATTAGGTAGCCGCCCTAGTAGAATAGCATTATTGCATGTTTATAGAGCATAATATGGCGCAGGGCGTTTTCGGTCGACTAAATTTAAGCGCAAGGTCTCAATTTAAAGTTGAGCTGGCTAGATGTATCCGTAAGTTCTATGCTAACAGTTTCTGTTCTCGCACTTCTTGCTTGTAGAACACTCTTCCATGCTTTCCGTCCAACTTTAATCTGCAAAAAATTTAAATGCAATGCCAATCGCTATCTACTGTTTTCCTGATTACTCTTTTCTCTTCACGCTCATTATTAATGTTTCTGTTCCTAATTTTTCCACATTCTGTAACCATTTGTGTCTTAGTGGCTTTATTGCCTTGCTTTGGGTGATACCGATTTTAAAAAATAAATAAAAATAACTTTACAGATAGGTTGCAGCTGCTGGAAGTATAGGAGTGGCAACTGAAAAACTGAAGTTTTTGAAAAAGTCATAACTTGTTAGTTTTCAATCTTTTTCATTTTTTTTTTTTTTTTGCAGGTAATAGAGCATCCCTTGGAGATTAAAATGGCTATGTATGATGTCCAGCAATGAGTAAAAACTCATTGTGTTTTTTTATTCCATTGAAAGATCAATTATTCAAACTCCGATAAAATACCAGCAACATTTTAATGTCAGAATATCTCCTAGTGATAACACTAATCACCCAATTTGAAAAACTGAATCAGTCTGCGATCTTCTAGGAAGAGGTCCTAAATGTACTGTGCACACTAACAGTCTTATTTGTTCAAGTCTTTGTCGTGAGGTACTCAGACGCCTTTATCTGGCTTCAACTTTATCTTGAGACTAACAGTATAGCCCGGCGTTGACCGTGCTTGATTAAAAAATCGTACGACATACAGCAATCGCTATCACTTGACTTAAAATATTTTTGCCCTTCCTTGCCTTTAAAGGAGTGCCTTTTGCCGTGCTGGTGTTGCTACATGCCTTACTTCTTGCCTATCTCACACTGCAAATTTTTTCTAAGCTCTATACTAAACATTAAATCTGTTACGAAAAAAGAACTAAACAAAATGAACACAAAACGATCAGCTTTAAAAAAGGACTCGTAATTGGAAAAACCGAATGAAAAAAAATGTTAATAAATACTTTTTCAGACCCAACCCAGTTCTGCGGAATCAGAATCAACGTTGAGTTTAAGAAAGCGAATGAGCCAATTGGAGTAAAGTGCCATGCAGATTTAAATTTTTCCCACTTGTGACGAATGCAGCTATCGATTTCTTTTGCATGCTAGCATGCTAGTTAACATTCGTGTCAGTCAGTTGTTGGCTCTCACGCTGGCCAATAGAATCTTCCTGCTTATTCGTGGTATCCAGCTATTGGCTCTCACTGGCCAGTAGAAAATGGCCGCAAACTACATGAAAACTGCCGTAGAAGCATGAAAAATCGATTATTTCCACTATCCATGGGAGTTGGGAAATGCAAAGTCGGTGCTGGCCTTCCCGTTAACCTGGAGCATATGCATGTAAATTTTGGTGCAAATCCGTCGAAAATTACGGCCCTGCATTCGTCACACACACACACACACACACACACATCCTGCCTTTTATAGATAGAGATAGGCTTTACCGTTTTCCTCTTTGTTGTTCTCTTGCTCCCCCTATTCCTTGGAGAAGTGTTTCCATTTCGAATCACTATTATATTAAACACATACAATTTTTAACATGAAAATATATTTGAGGAAATGAGATTTATACAGAATGGTTATTGAAAAACTGAAGATTTGAAAAAAATCATAACTTGTCCGTTTTCAATCTTTTTCTTTTCCTTGTTTATAGAGCATCCCTTGGAGATTAAAATGACTACATATGATGTCGAGCAAGGAGTAAAAAGTCATTGAGTTTTTTCTATTCCATTGAAAGATCAATTATTCAAACTCGGAGAAAATATCGACAACATTTTAATGTCAAAGTATCTCCTAGCGATAACAAGATTCGGAACCTAAACGTCCGGTTTTAAAAGAACTGGATCAGTTGGTGATCTTCCGGGAAGAGGTCCTAAGCGTACTGCGTGCACTGACGCAGCAGTGAAATCTCTACGCTAGAGTATCCTTGGGGATCCATCAGCTTCTACCCGTCGTCACTGTTCAACTAGGCATCGCCAGAACATCGCATCAGAAGATTCTGAAACTGGATTTTAAAATGTTTCAATACAAGATTCAAATGGTCCAGACTTTACTTACCCAAGATACTCCTGTGTTTTCAAAAGTTATTTTTGTTTTTTTATCAACCAGACTTTCAGTGGCGACCCTGTATAAAGGTGCATTTAATATTTCATTGCTTTTTAAATGAATAATATCCCGACGATTTTACCATACGCACATTAACTTTCTGCTATGGAGTTCGTCTTTTGATGTAGCTTGTCTTTTTTAGTTCACTGCCTTTTGCGTTGAGCATTGTTGTATGTTAGTGTACGGCAAATTTATTTTTAACTGCCACATTGGTTGAGTTGTAAGTAATCTTAATATATGAGTTGACATTGGTTAATTAATGTTGGTGCTGGATTCTTACGAATTCTTCCGATATACTCAGTGTCTGGAGTTAAACTTAAGGTGGACCTAGTGAAATATTAACTAAGCATTGATAGGATTTGTGTGGTTGAAGAATCACTGACCGACTCCCTGTTTCTCTCTCACATACACATATATACATATACACACATCTGCTAGTGGTGGTCACGAATAGCGTGACTTAATTGCAGTGGAATAGAACGCTGTCAAAAATAAATGTCCTTTTGAAGTCTCTCTGTAGACGAAAATTTACATTAATATATTTGCATTATTGAGGCTATCGAAGAAATAAAGTCTCTTGTGTTCTTCAATAGACATAAGGAGAACACTGTGCATAAATGCATGCATGTGCGCACATGCTTGTAAATGCACACGTTGCTCTACCACTAGTTCCATTGTAGATGCTTGGATGAACAGCAATGCAGCTGTGACCCGCTATGCCACATACGCCGAGTCACCATTCCCTTCACATTCCATTGGTATGGAGTATTTTCCACTTAGCTTATTCTGGAGAACTGTAGCAATGTGAAACGGACTCCCGAGAGGACGCTGCCCTGATCACTACAGTATTAACTTCTTCAAGCCGAGGGATCAACCTTTATCTATCCTACATATCGTCATAATATACAACCTTTGCCCCCACCCTATACACTCTTAGAACATCCCTATTCAGAAACAGTCTATATTTATATATATATATAAAGATATATTGAATTGGGTGAACACTAATGACAGGCTATTCGTTTTCGGGAACACTCATCTGCTAGGTTTGCTAACCAATCTCTGTCGCAGACGCCTGCTCAGGCACATTAGTACTTTTTCAGCACCCACAGAGGCCGTCTGTGGTTTATACTGCAACTATGCTGAGCGGACATTAGTTGTAGTTTATGGAAGA